AATAATTCGTTTTCTAATATTAACAAGATTTCTGTGTTCGGAAAAGGAAAATACTGTTTTCACGGACCCAAAAGATCGTCAAGTTAAACATTACTACCCAAATAAAAAAGCTGTGACTCTTAGTATTGGATCTGGCCAAAAAGAATTTCTGAGGGTTCAAAGAAATCAGCAACCTTTCTTTTACGTACATGGAATTTGTACTTACGAGAAATCATTTTTGCAATTGATGTTGAAGTTCTAATTAGTGAGACTTTTTTAATAGAAAGGCCGGTTTAAACACGAACTCTTGCTTTTCTGAAACAGTCACGGGCAGTTTAATTTCTCAAAACCCTTGCATATTTTTATGAGGCTTTTGTAATACGCGAAAAAGGTACGTCTGCGAAAAAGTTAACATTGAGGGAAGAGAAAGAGGATGTCGACAAAATCTGGATCGAGGTACAAAAAACTTCTGACAACGCAGGTGGAAAACCTACACGCGGTTTCTCACTTCGACACAAAACATTTAGTGCTTTGAACTACGCCCAAGACTTTAGATTACCACAGTAAAGGAACCGCTTAAAAGAACTACGAGTTCGAAGTGGGCTACACTCACGAAAAGTCGAATTGTCTGGTGTCAAATACGTTCATGCCTTTGTCAGCACTGTCAACTATGTCTCTCCCATCGGTGCAAAAAGTGATTGACCAACTGAATTCCAAAAATAATGGTTCAAGGCTATATTTTGGCATTGATAATGTTTGTCGTCGTCTGTTGCAATGGATTGCAAGAATTAAAAATAGATTGAAACTTAGGCCAACAACAAGATACTGCACATACAGCAACCAGATAAAAGTACAAGAATGATTCCGATCAGATGATGAAAGTGCCGAAGAAGGTGACTTTGAAGTAGTTTATGGCAGGACATGCATGACCATGTCGGAAAGATCAGTACGAGATCATGACTGGTGCGTCTGGATCTATGAGGCTGCTGTCATATTGATGGTTATACGACGAACTTATATTTTCAGTTACTACTAAACTGCACTAGTGGCAGAGTTCATGTAAATTCATACCTTGATTTTATTAGAGCCTACCCCCAAAAGTGATTGACTTGCTGAAGGAAGAAAAATTCGGGTTATCACGGAAAAATTCGCTGTAGGAAAGTGAAAGTTAATAGCTAACCAAAAATAGTAGTTAAGTGAGAATTGGCCAAAAAATAGTAGTTAACTGATGTTTGGCCAAAAAAACAGTAGTTAACGGAGAATTGGGTACCCCTATTAACACCCTCGTCCTCCGACCATCTATTAAAAGTTTATTACAAAGTGCGACATGTGTTATTACAAAGTGCGAAAGAACAACCTAATCGTGACATTATGTTCAAAGTCGAACGTAACTTATATTTTGTTCCCTTGGCTGCGTGGTAAAGTTTCAGCCACTCAAGCTAACAGATGGCGGTGAAGCGCGAGCTCGAATCGTGGCAATTGAGTTTGTGTGTTTTTTTCTCTTTCTTTCTTTTCTTTTCTTTTTTTTCTTTTTTCTTTTTTTTTTTTCTTTCTACTTTTAGCATTTTTTTCACGATCAAACGCACACACTCACACAAACAACGTATCTGACAGAGATAAGTTCGCTTCACTCGATTTGTGGATTACAGCTGTTTGACTCGGGGCGTTCATTTAGTCTCGAATATGATCTGACTCGATCACCGTATTGAAAATCCTTAGAATTGTAGCTAGCCCGACGTCACGTTCAGCGAGCTTTCTTTACTCTCTAGCGTCACGATAAAGAGTGACCCTTGATTTGAGTTTAGCCAAGAAGTACAGGTTATATACCCCTAACCTAAGATCAGGCCCAATTTTAGCGGTTCTCGTACATTCTCTAGATGTCTAACGGCTACCACTAAAATTAGGCCTGATCAAACTCTCTCACGTTTGTGCTCGTTACGGCCAGTTTTTGGCCGTAACGCTGATTGGTTGTTAGAACAATGCCACAAGATCTGATTGGCTGTCGGAAACGACGGAAGTTGAAAGCGTTTATTCCTCTCGTGGTTGTTTTCTTGAATAATCCCCCTTCGGCGGAGAGAAAGGTCAATTTTGCCGTCTTTTTTATTGTTTTATGGTCTTACGGTAGGAAAATATGCCTTAATACCATGGAAATTCAGAAAATTCATATGGTTGTTCATATCTTCTCTGGATTTGCTTTATTTACGGAACTAATGTGAGTGTATCGCGGAGTTGAATCCCTCTGCAATTTGTTGACCGCTAACAAGGTGCTTTTTGATTTTCCAACAAACGAGTGCAGATCAAAATACTGTCCATCTTATAAGTGGTTTCATTTGAAAGTTTAGCCGGGGATTACTTTTCTGAACGGGGTGCGCAAGCGGAGGCTCATTGGGAAAGAAACCTCAATAGCCAACTGTGAAGTATTAGACGAAAAACATGGCATCGCTGTTCAAGGAATTTTTGTAGGCATTATCATAAAAGCTGGTGGCGCTAGTGTTAAGGTAACAGACTTGATGTTTGCCTTCGCTTTTTGTAAAAAACAAATTAAACCAGGAAAACTGGTGTCCTCGCTCGTTTGGCTGTTTGCTGTTTGTTAATTTCGATTGATAAATTTAGCGAGCCAAGTTTTTAGACCTGCAGTAAAACAACAACACAACTAAGGAGAATTACAAAGTGTGTTTGTAAGATTGGTTTTGGTTTTGTTTATAGGTAAGTTGAGCATGCAGCTTTAGAGGTGTCCGTTCGTTTTTCCAAAGTGGCAGATACTATTTACCTGGATTTATAAAAAATGTATATTTTTTTAGACCTTTGTTTCTCTCGTAAATTCGCAAATTGCAAGTGACTGTACGCACGGGACTAAATCAGTTACATTAAATGCTCTTGAGAAATCTTTTGGTTTGATCTGAGATAATTCATATATCCTTTGAAAAAGTTTGCGATATATTTCTCCAAGATTTTTAAAGATTTATGTACTGAAAATCGGGGAACTGAAATTGCCGAGGAAAATATTAAGACAACAGACAATTAGACCAGTTAAAACTAAAACGTTGTGTGGCCGTCTTTTCGAAAACTTTTTACCTTCTACGCCTACAGAAGTAACCTCTGAGATCTCCTTTGATCTCGCAAGAAGTTAAATGTGATTGTGCTGACCTTTTTATTTTTAGTTAAACAAATTAAAAGATAAAAGCTGTTTTTCAAGACAGCGAGTCTGCATTTTTCCCACTTATGAAAAATTTGCATACTAAAAAAACAAGGAAAGGAAGTAGTTTTGGTTGGCTGATTCGGCAAATGTCAATCAATCAAAAAAGTGGGCGGGAGAAGTTTCGCAGAAGGTTTGTATCAGGCTCTATTTTCGTTTCGCCTTGCCCGCCGGAATGTTATTTTCAAAGCGAAACGAAAATAGAGCCTGATCTCAGGTTGATAAACCCTTAAAAACCCAGACAGATTTGCGACACAGTACGTCTGCACGGATTTACGAGGCTTACTTGTTTATTTCATTTGGCACTACCGAGTCTGCAGTTTCCTAACAGCCTCATTCCCAAGGTCCTCTCTCTTCCTCCTTTCTATTTTACCTCGTCCGCCGTTACCATGTTGTCCCATGTAATCAGGAGTAAAAACACAATAGATGACTGGTTACACTTGCCATGTTTTCGTACTTTCACTGTGCTTTACTGGAAGAAGACGTGAGTAAAGAACCATTTCAGTTTATTTTGGAAACGAGTTTTTGATGAATTATCAAGTGTTAGTGTTTCAGCTGTGTTTCAATTTTAGCCTAGAATTAGACCGGAAAAGCGGTTGCTCCTTCAAATTGGCGACAAAAAAAGAAAGCGCGGAAGAGACGTGCGCATGCTTCCCCGTTGAATTTTTTTTTTCTCCCTTTTCCATATGTCAAATTTCGCATAATTATGTCATTCCGCAGGGCATGCCACATGCCATTCCGCAAACTCATTCCGCCTTTTGCCCTCACCGATTCAAGGGTTCACTGAAATCACCAAATGTAACAGCTAATGTATGGTTTATGGAGGTTGAAGTGGGTGGCATCCAAACTCTATCCCCGTACAGGTGGCAGTTCTCCTTTTCTAAGGTTTGAATGCTCAGCATTAATACCTCCCTCGCCTCCCTCCTAAAAAGGGATTTAAAAAAGGAAATAACAATAGATTTAATACTGATTGAAGACAGTCGGGGGAAGAAAACGCAAGGTCTGGACGACCTGGATCTTACACTGCAAACTCACAAGGGTGAATATATACTCACTTGACAGTTAACACACCTTTTATGCCGCTTGAATTTCAGGTCGAGATGGTAGAGATGGATTACCAGGACCTCCCGGTCCAGCTGGTTAGTTGGCTGTAGATTGCATACCAGCCTAGTTCCCAGGGTTCTCTCCTACCCGCCCAAGGGAGCGAGAGAAGGTAGGAGACTGTGGGAGAGAGAACCTGGGAACGAGGTTGGTTGTATACGTCTAATCAGCCAATTTTTTGCACACTATTATTAAGCTGTTACATTATTGGATGTACCAAGAACCTTAGGGTGGTACTTTTTCGCCGCAAATATGATGCAAAAAGGTACAACTAGGAGGAAATCAGCAGCAAAGACCGCATTGGCATGATAGTCTACATGGGGTTGTATTAATTCGTGGGCACATGCGATATTTACCACATTTACACTAATTTATTCTTAGTTTTTTTTTGCATCTTATTTGCCCTGAGAAAATTTGGTGTAATAGGGATTTGCCAGAAATTAGCAGCGTGGGTGGGGGGGGGCGGGGGGGGGGAGGAAACAGAGGGAGGATCACATCTTTTTTGAGACTCAAAAAAGGGAGGGGTCATGAAAAATGGGCCGTTAAAAGGGGGAGATTCATGCAAATATATGCCTGTTATCATGTAGAGGTTCACCCACAGAAGAAAACTGAAGTTCTTTATTTGGTTAAAAAAACACACACACAAGAACAACGGGAAAACGTTATGGATATAAACTGTGAAGTCTCAATTTATTCCAAAGATTGCTCACTCAGAAGCGACGTCATGCGTGTAACAAGTGACACCAATTGTCAGTTTAAAGAATATGAAATGAAAAGGCTGAAGTGGTTGAAAAACCAGCTGTCTAAAGCAGTCAGTATTTTCCATGAAGAGAAAGAAACACTGAACAACCATGAAGTTGCCAGTGGAACTGAGCTCATAGGCATTATCAACAACATCCAGGAAGTGAATGATGAAATCGATACGACCAGCTCAACATTAAATGCAAATACTCTCTGGGAACATCAAGAAAAGGCTGTTAACTTTTGTGATGCTGCGATTGCATTCATCAACAGTCTCAAGTTGCCACCACTCTGTGACCACATTTTGAAAGCAACAGATGCTGGTCGTGGGGTTGGTGTCACTAACACCGAGGTTAACTACAGAGACATTGACATGTCAAGGAGTTTATTATTAAAATAGCTGGACTCACATGAACAGGATTCACAGGGCACCACACGATTCAGAACAAAACGAAGCGGAGCCTTCCAATACTGCTATAGGTGAAGCTTTGGTTGATGGCAGAGCATTACACTGGGAATACTTTCAACCAACCGATCTCATTAGTGAAGAAGAACTGAAAACACTCACAGTTGAAGAAATGAGAGAGCTGGAGGCAGAAGAAGTGGAGCGTAATGCATGGAGAGTTGCCCAGGATGTTGTGTCAAGAATCGATGGCGAACCTTGGACCAGCTGGTGACTTTATGAAGGCCTTTGTTACTAATTGTAAAGAACAGCAGTTTTTTTTTTCAATACCGAATGTGTTCAGCAATACTATGCTGCAAAGTGGGAGACGAGAAAAGTAAAAGTCCCAGGAAACAACTATTTCAAAAAATTAGATGACTTCGTATAATCGTGTATGAGTACTAGAGAAATGTTTCACGTGGAAATGAGTCAATGGATCCCACCCCTTGTCCAGTTCCAGACATCAACATACTTCCAAAGTATCACTATCTGCCTGTTGCAGAAGCACCCATCACAAATACAGACGACGGTAAAAGAAGAGAAGTGGAAGATTATCACCCTAGAACACGTTTAAAGCAAGTCCAGAAAAGGATGAAATCAATATCGAGGATAGTGCAAGCGTTCAGGCCTTTTGCAACAGATACATTGTCGAAGAAAGTCTTGTGAAAAAATACCTGGAACATTTAAATCATTTAGAGATGATGAGTGAGAACAGAAAAATGTTAAAGAAAAACAAGAATTCGAAAGAGAACACAGTGTCTTACGAGGAATTTGACTAGATGGAAATGATGAATAGTGGAACAGTAGCAAAACAGGGTGCATGTGTTCTGGACAAATACATCCATGAACATAATCACGGTGGGGCCAAACCACCCCCCAAAGGGCTTATCAAAATGTGAAAATTTAGATTAATTTAAAGTAACTTTGCTTGCTTTAACTCTTTCTCAACCAAACGTGGCCTGGAAATATGAAACAACAGGCCAATCAAAATGGCTCATAGGATGACTCCAAATGACAAATTATGACGTCACATTTGCTGACGTCATTTCATACTTAAATTTTAAACTTTCGAATCTCCCAATTTTTTTTATATCGTTTTTGAAAGAACTATTCAAGGGAAGTTGAAGGCTGAAAAAAGTTTTTCGGTATCTCAAATATGAGCTGAGATATGACATTTTGAATTTGGATAAATTCGGATCACAAAAACGAGGTACCCCCCTTGTAGAATGAGTCTAAAGTTAAGAGTTTTATTGTCGAGTCACCCTTGCTATTTAAGTTACACATAACACATCTTTACTGTCGAAAGCTAAAGGAAAAAGAAAAATTTGAAAAAAAGAAATTCCTAACTGCGCAAAAACCCGGAAAACAGTTTTGTGACGTCATAGAACGTTTTCTTTTTTTGGTTTGCTTAAATTAGTGTTTTTGAGTCAAAAAACAAAAATCTAAAATGATACTATTTTGGCCAACTATAAAAGGTTTGTGTCACCGGAAAATCAGCTTATTTTGCAAAAAAAAACAGTAAAAAAAGAAAAAGGAGGGATCGTTTTTTAAGGAAAAGTATGGTTCTGGGGGGTGCAATCAAATTTCTTTGAAGTCCCATAACTCGGGTTTTACGTGTCGTGGCCAGAAACGGTTTTCGCTGTTTTACTCCTCTTCTAAAGCTCTTTCAACTGATATAAGTTTGACTTTCAAATTAAAAAACTGCATTTAACCCATTTTGGTGACTGGCAAGTTTGGTTGAGAAATAAAAAGAAATGTAAAAGATACCTAAATTTAGCCTTAATAAGCCCTTCTGGGGGTGGTTTGTTTGGCCCCGCCGTGAATTTGCTTGCAGTGAAAGGTAAAAACAAGCCACAAAACGTCAATGCTATTATGGATCACTTACGGTCATTTGCCCAAAACACACAAACAAACAAACAAAGCTCCCTCAGTGTGGAAGAGGTGGATGATCATCATGATGAATGAGAAGTAGATGAAGGAGATGAGGCATTACCCATTTGTCCTAGTGATGACGACTTTGCATTGGGATAAAATAGGAGAGTCGAGTGATCAGCTGTCCGAATCAGAGTCGGACTCTTAATGCTGTCATCTAAACTGTATGTATATAGCATTACAAAAAACAGATTAGAAATTTATTTTGAGTTTTCATAATACTGACCCACCCTAGTGTATTGCAAGAACTGGATTTTATCATTTATACAATTAGAGGGGGAGGGTCATGTTATATTAGGCCAAGCTCAAGGGGAGGGTTAACAAATTTCACTCCCATTGCAGGGATGGGTCACCTCATTTCCGTACCCAAATTTAAACCTCCCACCCCCCCCCCCCCCCCCTCCCCCTACTAATTTCTGACAAGTCCCTAACATAAAACCTAATATTTCGTGCAGTGATTCCGACAAAAACTGTCAGAAGCAACTTTGTCTTAAAACCCGAGTTAAATATACCATTCGGTCTCCTTATTGGCCAAAGTTAAAAAAGGAATACAAATTGTAATCAGACAGGCTCCAATGGGACAAGAGATTACCACACACGAATCAGCCTGATTTGTTGCGAGACAGGTTTGAACGTGGGTAGTACTTGCGCAACATAGCTTTGCAACTCGATTTGTATAAATATTGAAGAACAAGTTGCTAGTTTTTGTTGCAAGTTTTTCCTTAGCATTAAAATATAAAAGTTTTATTATGTTTTTATTTTTCTTCAGGTAGGGACGGTAGAGATGGAAGAGTGGGTCCCCCGGGACTTCGAGGACTCGCGGGACCAAAAGGTATGATCCGTGCTGCCTAGAGCAGATTAACCTGGCATATGTTACGCGAGGTATAATTATGTGCATAATAAATTATTGGCCGAACATAAGTTGTTGAGCATGAGGTTTTCTCTCGTCTCTTTTGGGCTGGGCAACTGACACAAAAATAGATCAGTTTATATAATCTTGGTAAGCTGTACAATCCTGTATTCCTATCCTGTAGATGTAATGGGGAAAATTTTTTTAATATCTGATGTAGCATGGAATGTAACAAGGGCAGAACTTGCACATAAAAAAATGAGCTTACAATAGTTCGTGGGAAGACTCAGTGCAGGCCAAAGATCGATTACTCGATCACCATTATTTCTTCCTACAGAAACCTGCCTTAACTACTCCTTCTGCCCTTTTCTGGATTCATTCATTTGCCCCCGGCAATTGTGGATTTAGATAAAAAAAAAAAAGTTCAGATTACTTTTGACTCATTGGCCGAGTTGTTTAAAGCTGGGTTAAGATAACCCAAGGTCGGTGCGAGATTTGAATTCAGTTTTGAAAGCTTAAAAAGCTGTTCAGTTTTAATTCTTTTTGTCTACAAGTTGATGATTGGAAGCTCTAAAAATAACAGAGAAAATTATAGGAGAAAATGCTTTTGAATACATGAAAAAGAAACCCGGGTTAAGCGCTAATCGGCCTTAGAACAACTGGGCCCTGTTTTACCGCACACCCTTACCCTCTTCATAACCTTTACTAATAGGTCTCGAAAGGCGAAGGAAAGTCGTTTAACGATCGATGTGCATGTGTAGCTGCAAAATTTATAATTTTACCACTTTGGAAGAGTAAAACAAAGAGCCTTGGCATGAACGTGAATCATGAACGTTTAGTTAACAATAAAACTGGAAAGTACTTTGTACAGTTTTGAAGCACTCGTTTTTTGTTGTTGTTGTTGTTGTTGTTTGTTTGTTTCTCATTAGAAATTTCATTCGTTCACTCCGCTCACTAGCCTGCACCGCTGACGAAACTAAACTCTGCTGATTAAGTCCGTTTGCGAAACAGCACCGAAATCCTTGTTCTGGGCTCCCAGCTTTGTATCAGGATTTGAGTAAACGCCATGATTGGCCTGTGAAAAATGCCATAGTCGATTTGCCAAACAAGATGATAGCTCACGGCGTAAACATAATAGCGTACTCGCGTACTTTCCATGAAGTCCTGTAGATATAGATTCATATGTAATGTAATGAGTAGAATATGATCCATTCATCGTTTTCATGTTTCCCAGGAGATGTTGGTAAAACTGGAAGTGTTGGCCCCCAGGGTCCTCCCGGACCACAAGGAGAGAAGGGAAAGGGACTGTCTGGGGTGAAATACGTTCGCTGGGGAAGGACCAACTGCTCTGGAAATGCTACGACGGTGTACAGTGGTAAGGGTGGATATTTGTTTATTCATTTAATAAATTGCGTCAAAATGTATGTCATATGCATCGAAGAGATCATTTTAAGAATAACTTACTTTCATTCATTTGCCAAAAATCATATGACATGAAAGAAATAGCTTTGATCTGCCTCAACTTGGATCAAGTTATAAGAATTACAGTCGACTCTCTCCTAATGGACACCCTGGTAAAACGAACCCCTAGAGTTAGCCACTACCTTTACATACTCCTTTTTTACTCTCTGTAAGACGAACACCACGCTTTATCTGTATGTCCATTCGGCCATCCTTAAAGAAATGATGGCAAGGCTTGAGAGAGGATATAGATTACTGGCTGTCTTCAACTTCTCTTCAATAACATCCACTCGCGCAATGTTAATGGTCTTAATGTCATGGTGGGATCGAAACCCACCAACCATGAGCGAAGTTTGTGATACACCAATCACTAACAACCACGGTGGTACAAATAGTTCGACTCAGTAAATCGCCACTATCGCCTGATGAGGACCTGCAGTGTGCGGTCGAAACGTCGCGATCAATACCAAAGTGACAATCGTGAGACAAACGATAAAAACTAAGCCTTAATAGTACTTTTTTCGCTACTTGAACAGCGTCTGCAAAGCTTGTTTCAAGCCTTTAATTGCTTAGCCAGAAATGATCTCTCAAACGTCAAATTTGCATTTATAATAGGTCATATTATGTTTACCTCTCACTTCTTATTAGGTAGAATAGGTGGAGGGCATTATACTCACCGTGGAGGCGGAGTAAACTATCTGTGCCTTCCAAACACTCCAAAGTACGACAAATACAAAGCAGGCAATCAGGGTACAGCATGGGTGTACGGCGCCGAGTACGAAGTGTCACTGTCTAACCCTTTTGAGGAAAATCTCCATGATCACGACGCACCTTGTGCCGTCTGCTTTGTCGAGTCACGTGGTTCGATGCTAATGATACCAGCACGGAACGACTGTCCCAGTGAATGGACAGAGGAGTATCATGGGTACCTGATGACTGAACATTATAATCACAATGGTCAAAAAGATTTCATCTGCGTTGACAAAGATGCTGAGTATATCCCTGGCAGCCAAGCGAACCTGAATGGTGCATTGTTGTACCCGGTGGAGGGACATTGTGGCACATTACCGTGTGGTCCATATGTTCAAGGTCAAGAGTTCACTTGCGCTGTGTGCACCAAGTGAAGGATCTAAGGACTGTCCTTTCTAAAGTGTGTTTCAATCAACAACAAATGATTTAAAAAAAATAGACTGTGATGATTTGAAAAAAGTAGTTCAGATCGCATGTTGACACATAATAGGTACAACTGTAATTTGCAAGTAATACAAATAAAGATCAGCTGAAAGTTAACGCAAAAATACTTGAACATTGTTTTTAAGGAAAAGTAATATGAGTCATTTCCATGTCGTCTCAAGAAGGGATTTTTTTTTCAAAGAGAGAGCTCTTATCAAATGCCTCGAATTCAAAATTTGACGATTGGTCAAGGAAACAACTGCTATAAAATACTGGACAAAAGTACTTGGGACTCAAAGGGTTGTGTGTGTTTCACAAGCTAAGTGAAGTCTGGAAAAACAGTGGTAACCTAGTTTTAAAGGCGGTAATGTTGTCTACCCCTCCCAAGTATTTTAAAATTCTACATTAGTCACTACCAGGCTTCTTAAACAGTAAAACTCTCTCTTGTTGGAAACTTGGATGTATCTGCCCCACTGTACGTTAATATATAGATTTAGCCAGGGCTAAAAGCGAGGCTCCCATTATATATTTATAATTTAAATCAAACAATAAACTTGTATTCCACAATTCAGTTAACTTTAGAGCACATAGCACATTCATGTGACTTTTGAGGGAAAGGCTAAGTGATTTTAGAGAAAAATAATTTGCAAACAGCCCAAGAGTGAACAAAATCTTACATCGAGTTGATAACCTCATATGTACACCCAAAAAATAGCAATCATCTTCGACCACATTTAAGAGCCATAATGGCTCTTGATCACCGTAAGATTAATTAGGCCTGGAAAAAAAATCAGGTTGAATTTTTTTGCGTTCGACAAGTTTACTTTACAAAATCTTGCCAACAAATCTGGTTGCGTGTAAACAACCCTTTTATACCATTTATACATCACATCTGAGGTGAAACAGTACTATGAGGTACTGTTTTAATCATACAGACCTCGGACAGAATTCAGTATTTCACAGTTTTGCAAGAGAAATTGCACTCATTCAATATTCAGGACGATCGAAGCACGCGTGGGCTTTTAGCTAAACCGTTAAAAAAATGTCCAAAATCACGTATACAGCCAGCCGGTTCTCACTTTTGCAGTGCGAGCTGTAGCGAATGTTTGAACGAACATACTAGAGTTAAGCTCCAACACAATAAAGAAATTATTATGTTTATTTTTTATTTAATAGTTTTATCGATCTGTAATCTTTAAAAGCGTTTGATCCGCGCGGCATTTTGAGTACTCCTGCAAGCGATGTTCACTGAACGACTGAAAACAAACGGCACAGCGATTAAAATTACAAGAGAGACTACCAGCAATCAATAAAGGAAATATAATTCGGCGAAACATATACAGAGACCACATTTTTCATTCACGAAGACAAATATTAAAGTGTCTCTAAAAATCCTGAGTCTTCAAGCTTAAAGCGTAAGTTTATGTTTTAAGCCGGCTTCCCGGTATTTACTTTTTTCACAGATGAACTCGAGGCAAGAAAATCGCTCAAAGCTTTCTTTTACTGCCAGAATTATAACTAAATGTTCTATGGAACGTTTTCTTTCTATCTGCGGTGAGAAAATGTCTAAAGACTTTTTAAAGTTGTGTAAGCTTATATCAAGTTAACCTGATTCGTGGTCAGATCAAATTGTCTCAAATCTTACAAACGTGCATAAACTACATAGCCGCATAAACTACGCTCGACTTCTTTAAATTAGATATAAAAAACAAACATCAAACACAATAATTACTGGGGCTTACCATTCGAGATGCAGCTCCTGAAAGGTATCAAGGAAGGCCAGTATCGCTTCAGAGCTTTCAGCCTCTACGCGCATCAAGCAAGGTGAAAAACAAAAACGTTGACACCCGAAATCGGATTCCCGACTTTGACAAGTGATGTATTAATTTCTCAACCAAAAACCAACTAGCCATGAATAACAGAAGGCTCCTGATAGCAGCTAAATTTCATTTTGTGCATCCAGTGGAAAAAGACAGTTAAAAACATCACAAGTTGACACAAAACTCTCTCAGCTTCAGCTGTCAAAGTAAACAAGATTCAAAATGCTGCATAAATTTTCCGCATGAGCTCACCTGTCAAATTTTGACCAATCAGAGCTTTAAAAATGGATGTAGAGCGTGACCAACGGGTGACCATGGTGAGCAAAGTCAAAAGCAACTGTCTTGCCTGTAATAGCTGGCTGAATTTTCGGGTCCGAGGTCAGTTTTAAATCAAAATTTTAATTGTGCGGCCCAAAAACAAAACATATTTCATATGAATGAAAAAAAATCAAACTTGAGCCTGCGATCATTTGAAAACTAGTAACTTGTCAGCGGATAACTTCAAAAAATACTTGACCTCGATGGGTTAACACCTGAGCCCGCGATACGGTCAAGTGATACTGGTCAGCGGATACCCTGTTTTGACAGCTGTCAATTGATCAAAACATTGATGTCTAATGGATGTGTGCATTATCAGTTTTCCTGTGCTCTCAAACTAGCTAGAAAGTATGAGATTGAACATTGATCGCGATCTAGTAAAACAACTGGTCAGCGGACACCTTCCAAATAACTCACGTCACCTTGATGAGTTGACACATGAGCCCCCGATATGGCAATGTGATACTGGTCAGTGGCTATCTTGTTTTGACAGCTGTCAATTGACCATATCGTGAATGGCCAATGTAAAAAATGTGGATTTGCTAAGACACGCCTGAGACACCCTTCCCTTCCTTTTGATAGTCTCCCCTACCCTACCCGTACAATCTGTAGACGCGTACGTACGTACGTACGCTCGGTCAGTCACGTGACAACCAAAAGAAAAGAGGTTGACCATATTCCATGAGTATGGGGCTCTGTCCCACGCGCGCTTGGCGCGCGAGGGAGCCCCGCTATAATGTAAACAATTTTCTACGTTTCAAGACCAAGCAACGCCATATTTTCAGACGTAAAAAGACACAAAATAACAAACAAAAAGAAAAGAAGAGCCCGAAATATTACATTTTTATATCATGGCAGACGGTCTGGTCTCAAATAGAGATATAGAAATCACGAGTATTACTCGTTTTCTACAAGGTCTAATAATCAGATAATACCGGACAAACGTCCTGGCACACTGATGGCATGCCAGTTTGGCAGTTTAGAACTGAAAAACAGTACTATCTATATCCAAATTGTGCTGCTGTTCCCCGCTTGATACAGTGTTGAAGGTTGTCAGAAATTGCGTCCACAAGAAGAGAGGAAAAAATTAACGTGTTTATTTTATTAATACAGTTGAAATTCCATTAAGCGGCCACCTATTAATTACACGTGGCCACCCTCTATTAAGCGGCTGAAATGAAAGTCTAAAAATAACTATAGAAGTTAAACCTCTTATGATCATTAACCGGCTACCTTTTGGCCATCCCACCAAGAGTTCTTCCATTGTTTTCATTTGTAGTAAGCGGCCATCAAGCATCTGATGCACTTAGTTTGACTTATTTTAAGAACATAATGAAGGAAAATGAAGTCCAGGGTCGAAAGTTAAACGACCAATTATGGACTTTACTGCTGCTCCCGTCGCGAGTCTGTTTCAAAATAAAGTGATGGTTCTGCAGAAGATTATGCTGATTTATGACGAACCTCTAACTGAACAGTCTACTCCCATTATTAAAGCGGCCACCTGCCGGTTCCCCGAGGGTGGCCTGTTTAAATGGAGGCTCGACTGTATGTATGATAAACACCATAGGCAGGGTTGGGGGGGGGGGGATATTAGTGTCCATGTGACTGGGAGGAAAATTGATGATTGGGAATCGTCATACCATCATCATTATCTTCATACGGTTTCAAACATCAGGCATTATCAAAAAATAAGTAGATATTTCCATCACACTATTATAAGGGAAAAAATTTAATTACTAAAGGCCGCCATCTTGGATTACACCAAGAATTAGAAATCAGCACACAAGCTTTACTTTTATTGTTGAAAGAAGTTGAAAAAACATTCATTTTTACTCCAAAATGGCTTGACCACCTGCTTCTTATGACGTCATATCTCGTAACCATAGTAACCGACCATCACTAAACTTGCCTTATTGCCTCAATGATGTAAATTGTCCTAGCCTAATTTTTTAATTAGTTGGCTGGTGTCAGCATCATAACTGGATTGGAATTTGAAGTCACTGTAATTTGTCAGATAACGTTTTGGCACAGATATACCACAAACAACACATAACGCAACATAACAAAACATTTTATCATTCAAAGTAAATTTTCTTTCTTTTCATTGGCCAAGAGCCCACCACGTGACCTGCAAATAACTGCCTACAAATAATGGTCTGCTCATGCGCAATGCCGTCCAACTGTGTTTGGCTGCAAATAATATTCTGCACATGCGTAAAGGAAACCGTGCTTTTCTCCTTCTTGCGATCGCTCTTGCGTGAAAATGGCAGATCGCTTCGCTTCCCGAGGATATTCATTAAAAAGACAAACTCGTTGATCGAATGATGAAACAATTATTGAACTCGGTTATCGCAAAATATCGTGATTTTTTCAGTGTTATTTGCCTCAGCCTTCGGCTTCGGCAAATAATTGATCTGCTCGCCACACACAAATCACGATATATTGCTCAACCTCGTCCAATAATTGTTAATTATTAGCCTTTCCATGTACGGAAATGGTATTGCTTTAAAAAACTTGACAATTTTAATTTCAATAAATTTAAAATAATCAAATAAACAGGTAATATTAATTGATGCGGAGCGACCGCAGGGAGCGAGCAGCAATATAATCAGGATTTAAGGGGAATATGTAAGATGGGACGAATTCTGGAATTCATCACTTTTTACCAGTATGCATTGCATTTAACCAGACTGCAATACGCTAGTTTTTTACCAGAATGCATTGCTCCACAATCAACTCAAATAAAAACACGAGGAAGTTCGGTGGGTGAGAGCGTGCATCGTTCTCTTCCCAGACTAAGAGTTTTCTTTGTG